AAATAAAAAAAATATTATTAATTATTATTTTTAATATTAAAATTATATAATTAAAAAAAAAAAAAAATATATTTAATTTTTAAATTAAAAAAAAATTTTATTTCTTAAAAATATTTTTTTATTTATTTTTATTTTTTTTATACTTCAAAAACTGTGTATCCCTTTGTGAACAAAATATATTTTTTATAAAGCTTAATTTTCTTGTTAAAAAATTATATATATTATAAAGAATATTTTTCATAATAAACTTTTTTTTTTTTTTTTTTTCATAAAATTTGTTTTTATATTGAAAATTTATTTTATATTCGTACAAAACATAAAAATCTTATTTATTCCATGTATCACCAATCTCTGAATTTTTTTTAATATATATATGTATATATAATATATAAATATAAAGTAACATATGAACATACATTTAAAAATTCACATATATATATATGCATATGTATATTTATGAAATTATGCTTAAGCATGCTTATGAATTTTTCGTATAATTATATACATAAAATTATGTACAGTATTGTTTATAATAATACATAAAAATATACCTAATATAATACTTGTAAATATATATATATATATATAAATACATTCATTAGCACATATTTCTATGAACTTGTGTATATCTAAAAATTGCAAAAATTTGCAAAAATTTTAGATTTTCATTGTTAATTCATAAATTTTTTCAACAAAAGTACATTAATTTTTTTTACATAAAAATAGTGCAATATATATAATTATTACTTTTATAACTAATAATTGTTATATTTTTTATGAAAAAATAATTCATGATAATTTTTTTTTTGTTAATAAATATCAACATTATTGTGTTTATACTAGTAAAGTTTTCATATTACATAAAATAAATAATTATTTAATATATTCAAATTATATTTATTTATAACATTTTGTATTCTTTCTTTTTAATAGAAAAATATAATAATTTATTTAAATTGTGAATATATAATTAAGATTTAGATTATATCTAAAAAACATGTAAATCATAAAAAAAAAATATATATATATATCATAATAATATTATAAATGTTTATATGGCTTCATATCACTTTTTTTTTATTATAAAAAAATTAACTCTATATAAAAAATAATTAAATTTTAGATTGCATCTAAATAATAATACATATATTAAATATAATATATTCATAGAATTTGATATATGTGTTATTTATTGCATCGATTTTTATCATTTTTTTTTAATATATAAAAATTATTCATTTACATAAATTGTAGAAATTAAAAATTCTAATGATCTTAAAAAGATAAATATATTAAAAATATAAAAATAATTTTTTTAAAACATATGCACGTTGTTAATTTTTACATGACTTTTTTCATATCTTTTTAACACACAAAAAAAAAAATAATAATATAATAAATTCGTAAATAAATAATTAAATACTATATTATACATAAAAAAAGACATATATTGAAAAATAAAATAAAAATTTTTATTAAATGTTCATTATTAGAATTTATATGAATTATTATTATTCCTTTTTTATATAAAAACATTAATAATATACATAATTTATGAAAATATAATTAAATATTTAATTATATATAAAATAATTGCAAATAATAAAAAAGCAATTTTTTACTTTATTATATATTTACTGTCAATAAATATCTTATTTTTGCATCATTTCTTTCTTATATAAAAAAAGTTAATAATTTACATAGTTTGTGTAAAAAAAGTAAATTTTATATTATATATAAAAAATTTAATAATTTTTTTATCTAAAATTTTAAAATTTTCTTATTTTAAAATTAATTAAAAATGAAAGATTATAAACCAGAAAATCCAATGGGAACAGATAATGATGATTTTTCAAAAATGAAGAATTTACTAAAGGATGTATTAAGTTGTTTGAACTCTTACAGGAAGGTGAAAAGTGAATTATGGGAATTATATGACTACACATATAATGAACTTTTTAATAATATTCTTGAGCATAATATTGTTAGTTTATTCAAGCTATTAGAAAAAAGTAAGGATGTTTCGGATTATCTGAAAAAAGTAATTGTTGTAAAAGGTAAATTACCTGATAACTGTATAAAATATATTGAATTTGATTTTTCTATGCCCTCTGAATCCGTTGCATTTTTTCAATCAGTAAAAAATAAAATATTTAGTTGTATAAGAGACTTCAATTATGTATCAAAAAAAAATAAGCTTTCAAAATGCTCAAAAGTTGAACTCAAAAAATATTGCAAAAAAAAAACAAATGCAATGGAAATTTACAATCTTGAACTTTTATTTTTTACAAGCAATTCTTTATCAAAAAATGAATCATTAAGTTCATATAAATCCAATAGAAGAAATAATAAAGTTGATAGAATTGATTATTTCAAAGAAATTGACTATGAAGTATTCATTAAAGGAATGTGTATCTATTTACGTCTAAATGATAAATGTGCAAACGAAAATCCAGAGAAATATGGATGTAGTTCTACTAAAAATGGAAAAAATAATATTTCTTTTCATTCAGAAGAAAACTATGCAAATCATATAACCGATGAAACTCTGACAGCAGAAATGAAAAACCAGTATCCTTCTTTATTTGAAGATGAAGAAAAATCTTTTGTGCTCGTTGAAAAAAAAAAAAGATGCTATAAAAGTAAGACTGAAAAATTAAGTAATTCATCAGTAAATAAATATGGTTCTTCTTCTTCATCTAGATATAAAAAAGTGGATAAAATTAATTATAATTTAAGAGGAAATTATAAAAAATATTCGAAATATACAACACATAATGAGGAATACAAAAAAAAAAAATGTTATCCAATAAAATGTCAAGAAAAACTACCAAATATTATAAAGAAGAATAAAAAAAATACAGAAGTGGAAGCCATTATATCTCACCCAGTACTTAATGAAATGAAAAACGATAAAAGTAATTTAAAGGATTTTGAAAAGGAGGAAACTCAATCAATTAATAGAGAGGATATAAAAAAAGAAGACAAACCCATGCGTAATTACAAAGAAAAGAAACTGGAAATTCCAAATAAAAGTAAAAAAAGAAAAAATGAAGAAATTAATGCATCTATTTCAACATTTAAAGAAAGAAAGAATTCTAATTTTAATTCAAATAGTAATTTAGAAAATTCAAAAACTGATACAGATAATTTAGCAAAATACAAAAATAATGATTCTCCTGCATTTGAATATGAAACAACGGCTACAAAAATAATGAAGAAAGAAAAAAACGAAGAAAATAAAGAAATAAGTATTTATATTTCATTTCATAATGAAACAAAAAATGTTAAGTTTAATTTAAAAAATAATATTCAAAGTCCTGAAACTTCTATAGAACATGAAGTGGGTAGTGATCAATGCAGTTCTTCACCTAAAATTAAAAGAAAAACGCAAGAAATGTCAAATGACAGTAAAATAAACAAAAATGATGAAATAAAAATATCTATTGCAGTTTTCAATGAAACAAAAAATATTAACCTATACTTAAATAATATTACTCAAAATTCAAAGACTTACGAAATAAATAATGTAGATTTAAATAAAAAATGTTCTTCACCTTTATATCAAGAAACACCACCAAAATTTCTTATGAAAAATAGAAAAGAAAAAAATCAGAAAATAAATGAAAATAATTTAGTTGATAATAAAAAATGTAAAGTTGATTTGAATATAAAAAGTAATTTTCAAAATTCAAATAATAGTTTGTTGAATAGAGTAGGCTTAAACGGTTGTTCAGAATCATTATACCAAGAAACTCCACCAAAATTTCTTATGAAAAATAGAAAACAAAAAAATCAGAGTTTAAATAAAAATAATTCAGTTGATAATAAAAAACGTAAGGTTGATTTGAATATAAAAAGTAATTTTCAAAATTCAAGTGATAACTTAGTAAATAGAGCAGACTTAAACGGTTGTCCAGAATCATTAAACCAAGAAACTCCACCAAAATTTCTTATGAAAAATAGAAAAGAAAAAAATGATAAAATTAATGAAAATAATTTAGTTGATAATGAAAAATGTAAGATCGACTTAAATATAAAAAGTAATTTTCAAAATTCAAATAATAGTTTGTTGAATAGAGTAGACTTAAACGGTTGTCCAGAACCATTATATCAAGAAACCCCACCAAAATTTCTTATGAAAAATAGAAAAGAAAAAAATGATAAAATAAATGAAAATAATTTAGTTGATAATGAAAAATGTAAAATTGATTTGAATATAAAAAGTAATTTTCAAAATTCAAATAATAATTTAGTGAATAGAGTAGACTTAAACGGTTGTTCAGAACCATTATACCAAGAAACACCACCAAAATTTCTTATGAAAAATAGAAAAGAAAAAAATGATAAAATAAATGAAAATAATTTAGTTGATAATGAAAAATGTAAAATTGATTTGAATATAAAAAGTAATTTTCAAAATTCAAATAATAATTTAATGAATAGAGTAGACTTAAACGGTTGTCCAGAACCATTATACCAAGAAACCCCACCAAAATTTCTTATGAAAAATAGAAAAGAAAAAAATCAGAGTGTAAATAATAATAATTTAGTTTATAATGAAAAATGTAAGATCGATTTAAATATAAAAAGTAATTTTCAAAATTCAAATAATAATTTAGTGAATAAAGTAGACTTAAACGATTTTTCAAAAACTTTATGTAAAGAATCACCACCAAAGTTTCCTATGAAAAATAAAAAAGAAGAAAATCAAAAAGTAAATATGACTGATTCATTTTTTGATGAAAAAAAAGACGTTATAATAAATAATATTTTTCAAAATCCAGAAACATGTGTAGCAAGCAAAGGAAGTTTAAAAAAAAATGTTTCTTTTATGCTAGAACATAATAAAATATCGAAACCCATCAATAAAAATGAAAAAGAGAAAAAAGAAAAAAATGCGATTACTTCTATATTAAAAAAAAATATGACAAATATGAATTTTAGCACAAATGTTGTAAAAGAAGAAATAGAACCAAAAATAGAAATTATAGATGAAACAAATATTTTAAATTTGCACAGCGAAAATTATATACAAGATTTATGTGCAAGATTAAATGAAACAGTTAATTCACAAGGAAATTATGAAAATATAGAAAACGTAGACTTCGATACAAGTGATTTAGAATCTGATACTGGTCATAAAAAATGTATTTTCGTTGATTTTGAAGATGATTCAGAAAGATGGCTATACAAAAATCAAGAATTTGAAGCTTACACTTTGCCAGCAACTGACGAAATGCCAGAAGATAGAATGCTTAATAGATTGAAAGCACAATTAGGACACTGCCCAACTCTTAATGAATTGAATAGATATAAGAATCGTGTTGATGGATTATGCTATTTTGAATGGGATTTTGTACTTGCACATTTTAGATATGTTAAAAAAGTTTTATATACATTAATATATCGATACAAAAAAGAAGTTACTATATCTGAAGAAAGCTCTAAATATTATTATTACAGTAAAAGAATTAAGGAATTATTTCCCGAATATAGTTTTTCAACATGCAAAAAAATATTTGCTGAATTTGAAAAATTTGAAAAAAATCCACTTATTGAGGTATCAAGAAATGGAATCATTCATGAGTATTGCAATTTCTTTAGATGTGATACAGAAGATATACCTAAAAAAATAAGACTTGATTTAAATCGTACTGCGAAAATTTTACATAACTATATAGAATCAATAGAAGAAACCAATATGAATGAAGAACTTTTAAAATATAAAAGAGAATATAATAGATTTAACGCATATTCAATGTATTATAATGATCAAAACCCTTTTATAAAATATTTGAAAAGAATTTACAATTTGTTCATTGATTTTATAAAAAAAATAAAAAAATATCGTTATATTACAAAATATTTTGATTACGATGTAGATAAAATAACTAGAAGTTTTTCAACTCAATTAAGTTGTTGTTATAGAAATATACATTTTTATTTTTTTAAAATGGCTAGATTATGTACAAATGATCGCTTAACATGGACATTATTACCTGGATTGCAATTCGATAAATTTAAATCACATAAGAATGTAGTGAAAAAAACATTTATAGATGATTGTATATTGAATAATGTTTTGTTAAGATATAAAAGATGCATTGAAAATGGAAGTTTTATGGCTCACCCTAGATACGATATGAGAAATCCTTGTGCGCTCTTTTGTATTAATTATTATTCAAAAAAGTTATATTCACAAATATGCGATGCACTCGTAAAAAGAAATATTAAAATTACACAAACTGATGATTTGATTACTAGAATATATGCAAAAAGGTATAGAAAGAGAGTTACTGATGATATGAAAAGAAGGTTGGAAATTGAGGAGAGTAAATATCAAAATGATAATTCATTAGAAAGTTCTTCACAATCAAATAATGAGAATGATAATAATACAGAAATCACCAGAATATCAAATCTGTCATTAATTAACGAAAATAATAATAATAATAATAATAATAATAATAATAATAATAATAGTACTCAAGTTTCATATATATCGTCCCACAATAACAATATTATAGAAACACCACTGTTATTAATCAACCATAGTAATGATGCTACTACAACAGCTGTAAATGAAATAAATAGAAATTCTACTACTTTAATAAATGTAGACAGTAATAAAGAAGTTACCTTAAATAAAGAATGCACTAATAATAATCATACAGTTTTACAAGAAGTGAATAATCAACTGGTTTACAATGGGAATGAGCCATCTAACGATTATACCATGCTAAAAGAAGCAAATAATAATAGTTGCAAATTTGAATATGATGAAAACAAAAAAGAAAAAGAAACTAAACATGAAAATGAAAAAAAAAGAAAAGAGTCACCATGCAATAAAAATGATATGGGAAATTCTATTAATGAAAAGAAAAAAAAGAAACTTGAGTCATTAATTTCTGAGCCTATGAAAGAACAAGAATGCACAGATGTATTTTTAGAAGAGAATACAGATAATAAAAAAAAATGCTTAAAAGGAAATTTAAGAAGCAAGAGAAAATTATATAATTGTGATGATAATACTAATAGTTGCAAAATACAAAAAAATATGTACACTGCACAAAACATAGTAGAAAACAGTTATGATTTAAAAAAAATAAATAAAGAGTATTCAGGGAATAATAACAGAATTAAAAATAATGAAATCCAGAAATCAACTGCTGAATGTGTTATTCGTGAAAAAAATATAAAAGTTAATTCTCAAGGTGACAACACGATTTTGACTGATAATAAAAAAACGCGTACATATAAATTAAGGGAAAAACAGAAAATTACATATAATGCATATAGTAGTGTAACAAATGTAAATAAGAATGTCAAAATAAATAAACAAAAAACAAATAAAATGGTATCAAAAAAAAAAATTACGCATATTAAAAAGATTAATTAAAAATATAAAATAGTCGTAAATCTGATTTTTCTTTTTTTGAAACAGAAAAAAAATAGAAGACAAGCATACATAAAATCAATAGATAATATATAATGTTACTTTAATAAGATAATTAAAAGAGAACAAAATTCTGCCTATGAAAAATATAATAAAATATTAATGATAAATTCATTGTGATTTCGCTAAAAAAGGAAAAAAAAAAAAAAAAAAGAAATCATTATATATAATGGAAATAAAATCTATAAAATGGATAATCCTCAATATGTGTTTAATAAAAAAAAAATATATTATATTTTGAAAAGATAAAAAAGAAATAATGGATTTTATTTATTATGAATTTGGAAAAAAAACAAAAAATTGACAAAAAAATCTTATATACTGGTAATATCTTTTCATAAAATAATTATCAAATATTTAATAAAAAAGCAAAAAAAGGAACTATTTTTTACAAAGATATAAATTAAAAAAAAAGATTGATAAAGAATATAAAGATAAAAAACACTATAATTCCCAACACCATTTTAAATAAAATAAATAAAGAAAAGTATGCACAATATACATGAAAAATAAAATGATTAAGTGGAAACAATTTTCAGTATTGTCCCGATGTAAAAAGAAAATAGAAAAATAAATTGAGTGGAAGAATATATATATATATATAGGATAATAATTAATGGAATTTAGCAAAAAAGTAAAAAAAAAAAACAAATAACATAATATTAAAAATTAAAATAAAATGAATACTCTTAATTATTAATTTACCAAACAAAAAAAAAATTAGAATACATTTTAAACAAGAAGAGTAATATTTTCAAATAGGGTAATCAGCTATCTAAAATAAAAAAAAAAAGAAAAAAAAACCATATTTATGTAAGATAATATCTTGATATAACATAATCATCAGTAAAAATTTATCAAAAAAACAAAAAAAAGAACCATTTATATTATACAAAAATAACATCTTTAGATAAGATAATCATCAATAAAAATTTAACAAAAAAACAAAAAAAACAAAGTACCTTATATATGGATAATAGTATCTTCATATAACATAATCATGAATAAAAATTTATCAAAAAAACAAAAAAAAACAAACAGAATTTTTACATGGATAATAGTATCTTCATATAATATAATCATCAATAAAAATTTAACAAAAAAACAAAAAAAACAAACACAATTTTTACATGGATAATAGTATCTTCATATAATATAATCATTAATAAAAATTTAACAAAAAAACAAAAAAAAAACAAACACAATTTATACTTGGATATTAATATCTTCATATAATATAATCATTAATTAAAATTTAACAAAAAAACAAAAAAAAAAAAAACCAATTTTTACATGGATAATAGTATATTCAAATAGGATAATCATCTATAAAAAATTAACAAAAAAACAAAAAAAACAAACACAATTTTTACATGGATAATAGTATCTTCATATAATATAATCATTAATAAAAATTCAACAAAAAAACAAAAAAAACAAAGGACCTTATATATGGATAATAGTATCTTCATATAATATAATCATTAATAAAAATTTAACAAAAAAACAAAAAAAACAAACAGAATTTTTACATGGATAATAGTATCTTCATATAATATAATCATCAATAAAAATTTAACAAAAAAACAAAAAAAAAAAACAAACACAATTTTTACATGGATAATAATATATTCAAATAGGATAATTATCAATAAAAATTTAACAAAAAAAACAAAAAAAAAAAACACAATTTTTACATGGATAACAGTATATTCAAATAGGATAATCATCAATAAAAATTTAACAAAAAAAACAAAAAAAAAAAACACAATTTTTACATGGATAATAATATATTCAAATAGGATAATTATCAATAAAAATTTAACAAAAAAAAACAAAAAAAAAAAAAAATTGCCTAAATATATAAAAAATAAAATCAAAAAGCATTTTTTTATTATGATTTTATTAAAAAAAAATAAGTAAAATAATAAAAAAAAATTGGATATTTCTCAACACAAATTGAGAAACAAAAATAAAAAAAAAAAGGGATAATTTTTAGTATGACCATAAAAAAAATAAAATCAAAAAAAAAATAAAAAATCTTTAATATAATTTTAAAAAAAAATATATTCATCAAAACAGAAGACGCATATTCCCAAGATTGATTAGCATTAAACTAATGGATCAGAAGATTATGTTCTACACAATTTGATATTCTTATCAAAAATATATGCACTAAACATCCATATACATAAATATACACACATGAGATTCATCAGAAGCTTTTAATGAGATACCTTATTTTGATATATTTTTATATCAAATAAATACACATAAAACATCCATATACACATATATGCACACATGAGATTCATCAGAAACTTTTAATGAGATACCTTATTTTGATATATTTTTATATCAAATAAATACACATAAAACATCCATATACACATATATGCACACATGAGATTCATCAGAAGATTTTAATGAGATACCTTATTTTGATATATTTTTATATCAAATAAATATACATAAAACATCCATATACATATATATGCACACGTGAGATTCATCAGAAGATTTTAATGAGATACCTTATTTTGATATATTTTTATATCAAATAAATATACATAAAACATCCATATACATATATATGCACACATGAGATTCATCAGAAGATTTTAATGAGATACCTTATTTTGATATGTTTTTATATCAAACATATATACCTGAAATACCCATATAAATAACACCACATACATGAGATTCATCAAAAGGTTTTAATGAGATATTTACTAAAAAGTACAATTATACATGAGATACATACACACATTATACCAACACACATTCACCTACATTTATAATACATATAACATTAATACATGTAATACTTATACATAAATATACATAATACCAGATATTTATAAAACAAATAATAAAATAAATATATTTCATGCTTTCATTACATTTTGTTGTTTTTTCTTGGAATTTTTCTAATTTAATTTTATATTATTTTTAATATAATTATTATTATTTTCCAATTTATAATTATTAATTTTTATTTATTCATTATTTTTATTTCAAATATATAATTATTATTTTTATCATTTATATAATACTGTTTTTTATTCATGTAGTAATACTACTTTATTTTTGTTTTTTGTAAAATTAAGGGTTAGTGTAGGGCGGGTATTTTTTTTTTATTTCAAAAATGCATTTTTTTTTTTTTATTGTGTGTAATTTATATAAAGTATACATCTTTTTTTTAATTGTTTAATTACAAAAGCACTATCATGTATATTTCTCACTTTATATTAGATAATGAGTAAAACCATGTTCAAAGTAAGAAGGAAAAAAAAAAAAAAAATTTAACAGCTTTTTATTATATATATATATATATATATTAATTTATTTTTCAATGATTATATACACTTTTTTTTTTTTTTTTTTTTCAGTATCATTAAAATAACAAATTGTAAGTTACTCCTATATGAAATGTGAAACGTTACCCCTTATTTATGTAGAGGATGAGAAATTTTTTACTAAACATTTTTATTTGGAATAACGAAAAGAGATATTCAATAAAGTATTAACTTATATGAATTATATTATGCAAATTGAAGTTTTAGATAGTAAACCAGATTAAAATAAATAAACTTTAAATAAATGAATAATCTTAAACACGTATGTAGGTTCAAATATATTAAGAATTTTAAGTATATAAAAGGATTATAACCCATAAATAATTTAAAACATATAAATCTCATACATTTAAATAAATTTAAATAAATGAAATAATTAGAAATGCACAATAAAACATATGTAAAGAAATAACTTCAAATGAATAGATAACTACAGATATATATGCACACTTAGATTAGTAATTTTATATTTATGAAAGGATTAAAGAACATAAATAATTTAAAATATATAAACCTCATCTGTTTAAATAACTCAAAAATGGAATAATTGAAAGTATAGATATAATCTTATATAAATAAATAACTTCAAATAAATAGATAATCAAAAATATATATGCAAACTCAGATTAATAGTTATAAATATGTAAAAGGATTAGAACACACAAATAATTTAAAATATATAAACCTCATCTGTTTAAATAACTCAAAAATGGAATAATTGAAAGTATAGATATAATCTTATATAAATAAATAATTTCGAAAAAATGGATAATAATATATATGCAAACTCAGATTAATAGTTTTAAATGTGTAAAAGGATTAGAACAAATAAATAATTTAAAATATATAAACCTCATCTGTTTAAATAACTCAAAAATGGAATAATTGAAAGTATAGATATAATCTTATATAAATAAATAACTTCAAATAAATAGATAATCAAAAATATATATGCAAACTCAGATTAATAGTTTTAAATATGTAAAAGGGTTGAAGAATATAAATAATTTAAAATATACAGATAACTATATATAAATATGTAACTTCAATTAAATTAATAATTTTTGATACGAGACAAAATATAAGTGTACAAAAAATTTAAAGTAATTAAATTCAAATATGAATTTGACAAAATAATTTATTAGGAGTCTCTACAGGAAATAAATAAAAAGGAGTTTTCACTTAAAAGGTTGCTTCCACAGATACACATTAAAAGATTATGTTTTATATTTAACTTTTATTTTTTTTCTAATGTTAATAATTTTATATTTATCTTAGAATTTTACTTAAGATTTATTTTTTCATATAAATTTTTTTCTTTTTTTTTTTTGTCTTTTTATATATAGAAAGCACAACATATAAATTAAAATACTATAAAAAAGAAATAAAATAAATAAAATTAATTATTCATTAATGTAATAATAATTTTTCATTTATATATATATAAAAAAAAAAAAAAAAAAAAAAAAAAAAAATTATTTAAATT